TAATCCCTCGTGTGCCCCCAACAGCCCCCGCGCGCCTCCTCCTTCTCCTCCTCAAAACGAATCGAACCAAAAACCGCACCGGTTCCGCCGAAACAACTGTTATCCTCAATCCGACATGTTTAGTATCGTAAATAAACGAAATTCCCTAGGTTAGGTATGAGAATGGCAACAGAAGCTTTCAGTTTCTAACAGACAGCTGCTATAAGGAATCAAAACAACCTCCCTTTTCTTCTTCCCAACTCAACTCAGTCCTAACAACAACCCTCCATCACTTTGATGTTTTGTCCGCCGTAATGCCTGATTCTGAGGTAAAATCACTCTACTTCTCTTTTTCATACTTGGGTCGAAGTTAAGTTGATTTTTTTTTCTCTTTTTTTTTTTTTGGTGAATTTTAACTGTTTTTGGTTTTGGGTTGTGTTGGTGGGTGTGGATTTTGATCTTGGTTTTGGGTCTATTTTTTTTTGGTGGGTTTTGGTTTTTGAACAGAAATTAACGGCCTTGAAGAAGGCTTATGCCGATATCATTCTCAATACCGCCAAGGAGGCGGCGGTGAGAGTAATGGCTTCGGAGAGGAAAGCGATGAGGTATCAACAGGAGCTTTTTTCTGCCAAGGATGAGTCGCTGCGTTTGCTGGTCCGATTGAAACATATGTTTGACTCTAAGGTACAGAGTGTGTGTGTGTGTGTGTGTGTGTGTGTTTTTTTTTTTTCTCAAATGGGATTTTCTTGGAGTTCACTTTGGGTTTGTTTTTGTTTATATAGTTTGATTTTTTCTTTTTTTGTTATGGGATGTAATATGGGTTTTGTTTTGTCTGAGTTGTTTGGTTGGTGTTTGGCTGGTGTTTGGCTGTTTCAATTGTTTTGTGAACTGAGTAATAAGAACAGTTCTTCATCCTTCTTTTTGGATTTTGGTTTTAAACTAATGTGTTGAACATTCCTGTGAAATCGAAGCATTAGTATCCTGTGAATTGATATAGCATTTTTGTAGATGTTTACATTTGCATCTGTTGTCTGTTGAATGCAGTTATCAATTAGTTCAAAACTTGTGAATTGATATAGCATTTGTGGATGTTTATGTTTGCATCTGTCTTCTGTTGAATGCTGTTATGTATTTTCTCAAAAAAGGGTTGCCATGGTCAAATTAAATATTTGCAACAAATTGGTTGCAATTGTCAAATTAAATGTTTACAATATTTTATACCTCGTACTTGGAAATTCTTTGTCAATATTACTTGCAAGTTGCAAAAGAGGTTTCTCTGCCTTTATCATTTTTTTTTTTTTAATTGTTGATAGGTGTTATCTTATACAGTAATACCATTTAAGTATTGAAGGTCTCATTCAATTGGATATATGATAGGGTAAAAATAAAAATTTGATTTGTTATTCCATACATAAATGAAGAACAGTGTATTCTGAAACATGGTTTGTGCTAGAAGAAAGAAATAAGATCTATAAGTGTATTGGATATATGCTTGAGTCTATTGGTTATTACATATCAAACATGGATAACATATCTACGAGGTTATTAGATTTTTTTTGGCTGCTAATGTTAGATTAATTTACTGGCAAAATTTGTCATTCTTGTGGATTCACTGGTCTATGCACATAATGATTGGAATATTCTTGCCCTGACAAACTGATCAAAATAGGGTGCATAAGGCTTGTTTTGTCAAGTAAATTGGAAACTTTGAGGAACCAACTAATTGAGGTCAGTAGAGTCAAATGTTATTTTGTTCAAGTCTGGGAAAGGAAAGGTAGACTTGTAGTCCTTGAGCTTTACTCAAATGCTCATTACAGATTAGACCAAATTGCTTCAAGCAGTGAGAACTGAGATTAGGAAGTCCATTTCAAAGCTTAAAGACTGGTTCCATTCTTTTTCCTTCCAGCATTTTTGCTTTTTTGGTTTGACTATCACCCTTTTTGCAAAATGCATGAGAGCTTTGTTACTTAGTGGTTTGCCTATCATTGTAGGTCAATGAAGCAGAAATGACATCCTTGAATCAACAGAAAAAGATTGAAGAGCTTGAAGCTCAATTGGGGGAAGCTGAGGATATAGTAAGAGACCTCAGAGAAGAGTTGAGAGAAGCACAGGATGAGTTGGAAAAGATTTCGAAGGACCGAATAAGGCAGCTAGATGAACAAAACTTAAAGTGTGATGTTACTACTGTAGAAACATCAGAGGAAAACAGAATCAGCAATTTTGGGTCAGCAATGCCATCTGTACCTAATTTAAGAAATGATATTTTGACAGATTCTTGCATGGAGAATAGTGTCCTGAATGGGGCAAGCAATGGTGATAAGTGTGCTTGTAAGGATAATTGCTATGCCTGTAACCCTGATTTTGCCTCCATAGTGATGAGACGGAAAGGACCTGACCTGTACAGAAATGGATGCACTCAGAGGATTCGTGCACTCAAGAGGAACCTGTTAAATGGGAAATTTTCTCTTCCAGTGAAAGTAGGCGTTGTAAAGAATGACGAATCTATCAGAGAAGATGTAGAAGGGAAAGATATTTGTGCACAAGTTGCCACAGAGTCTGACAACATGTGCTGGCCTGAGAAAAAACCAGGTGAATTTAAAGTGACGAAGGGAGATAACAACTTGGTCCCAGTTCATGCTGTGAATTCCTTTCGCCAGAGAAGGAAAAGAGCCAATAGGTATAAGAAAAATAAAGCTTCCTCATCTAAAAATATTCCTGGTCAGACTGCAGAAATGTGTCAAAAAGCTGATCCTCTCTGCCCCAAAACTTCTCCATTTGCAGTTGATAGCAATGCTCAATCTGTCGACAATCCTAGGATAATGAATCCTGATGCTCAGAATGGTCCAGAGTTTCCTGCAGCTCCAAATTCTCCTGACACAACCATAGTAGTTACTCAACTAAAATGCAAGGATGCTGGAAAGGATGATATTGAGTCCCTAAAAGCTTGTAGTTTCCAGGATGAGAAAAACAAGGATGAAATATTGACAGACAAAAAGGAGTGGTTGAGGCAGGAAGGTGGATCTACTGAAAATTTAGAGGTTCCATCATGTAAAACAGAACATGAGACAGTTGATATGTCTGTTGTAAACTCAGATGTTAAAGCATCTGAATTTGTGGAAAGATTTTGTACTAAGCCAATAAATAATAAGTTTCTCAAGTACACATTCAAAAGAAAGCGGAAGAAGGAATCTATGAGCAGCCCTGACAGAGATTCCTCACTTGATGATGACATTTCACGGAGGTTTACAGAAGAGAAAAAAAATGATTTTCTGGAGTCCCAAAAATCTACCTTGGTAACTGAATCATCTCGAGGTAGTCGGCGGCTAGCTCAGGTTGCTCGTCAGGTTGGCTATTTTTACAAGTGCTTCTTCTATGCATTATGTTTGGACATATGTCTTAGTGTGTAATTGTGCATGCAAACACATCTTCATTAGTCATACTTAGTTCATGAGTCGTGACAAACTTAGATTTTTCTGTTAGTGTTATAAATTGTCCAAACCATGTATCATTATGTACCGCCTATGCCTTTACCCTATAACCAAATTGTTAATGACTTGGAGCCTGCTTGAGCTTGTAACTCCCTCTGTAGTGATGATGGTTGTGCTACATTCTGAGATTAAGATCTAAGCTACCTTTTGTGATCCTTCACTCCCTCTACTTGTAGTCCATTGGATATTAGTTATCTTAAAATTGAAAAATTTTAATATCCTTAGGGTGCTCCATGGAAATTAACATTGTTGGCCATTTTGCTGAGAACATATGCAGAATCACTTACTCAATACTCACTTTTTATCTCTCAGTTCTTTTTTTTTTTTTTAAATATTAAATTCTTCAAAATATTTTCAGCTAACTTCAAATTTTCTTTGGATTATAAGCTCTGGATTCAAACTTCGTTTTTGTACCTGATTCACCCACTATAAACCATTAATTTACACCTTTTTTTGGGCCTCTAACCCTTTGCTGATGCTTTGAGAAGTTGATAGCTACTTGGGCTATTTATTGCAACTGAATCCATGCAAGAAAGGTCTATTTTCCAATTAAGTAATATTTTAAATCTGATATCATATAACTTTTAGCTTTTCGAATCTAAAGTTTGTCCTTGGTTTTTTGTAGGCTGAGTTCTAAAAATTGCTTCTGGTTATTCTTAACAAACTGGGAGTACAAATTGATTGTGGACTTTCCATCATTTAGCTTTTCAAATCTGAATATTGTCCTTAGTTGCATGCATTTACAAGGAACTTGTTTTAGGTGCACCCTTGTCTTTAATATTGTTTCCTTTTCGTTTAGAAGCCTGCAAGTACCTGGAGATGACGCCAACACGGCGTAATGAGTGTGTTTCCTCTCACTTTTTTTTTTTATCTGTTTCATTTCGGACTGTTCTTCTTTTCTCATACTTGACCTTCTTGAAGTACATGTAATTGTTCCCATTGGTTTCATTACAATTTCTGCCATCAATACAGGATAAATGTATCTATATCTACTCCATCCATCTGGAGGATTTTAATCTTTTTCTCAGCTTGGTTCCATAAGACCTATATGTCCTTATTACCCTTTTTGATGACTCCTATCTATAGAGCGCGCATGCATATGTATGGAGAAGCACACAGAGATCTGTTTATCACTGATAGTTATTTATCATAGCTACAATCTGGTTTTGACCTCATCTGGGAATAATTTTTTGACTTTGCTTCTAATTTTCTATTTTACAGCTTATATCATTATCAGAAAAGAAGTGGCAGAAGTAGAAGACTTTTCTCCCTGGCATTCACATGATGAGGATTTTGTATCAAATATGAGTCATAATCCTCTGAGAATAATTCTCAAGCTGATCTCAAGAGATGCCATCTGAGAAGGCAGCTGTATCATTGAGCTAATATGTTTGGTCATTATATCCATCTATTTCTCAACATTCTTGTACTGATGTTGTCTTGTCTTTTAATCCTAAAAAATGTTATCTTCTCCTTTATTAAAGTTGCAAATTGGTTGTTTCGATTCATTTTATCCTTGATAGTTTGATAAAAATGGATAGCTCAAGGGGGGTTTGGGTGGGGAAATTTTTTTCTCTAAAGTTTTTCTTTAATAAGATGTTATATATATTTATATACATTAATATTACAATAAATTTTAATACAATTTTTAATTTATAAAGTTTTCTTGTCTATTTTTAAAGAAAAATAGTTTCTTATAAATATTTTTATATCAAACTTATTTAATTTTTTTATATTAATTTTTTACTAAATACTACAAATTTAATAACTCAATAAAATTTTATTAAAAAATTTAATAATTTTTCATTTAATAATTATTAATTTATTATATAATACTTTTTTTATTTACTTGTCCAATAAAAATTTTCTTAATAAAGTGGTATTATATCCAATCCGGGCCTCGTGGTTGAAGCTAATCACCTCCCTTGTCTTTTTGTCCTGATTACTTTGAGGTTGTACTCAACTCATTTTTTTACGTCCATTTGTGCTGTCACGGGTGTTTAGTCCATAATCAGTGGAAAGGCTTCTCTTTCATTATTGTAGATGTCAAATGGCTTGTGGCACATAGTCTCACTGGGCTCACTTAGATGTCTTATTTTAACTTTTATAATAAGTGTGACTTAATGTTTTATATATATATTTTTATCTTAATTGCACAATGAGAGATAATTATTTTTCATTTTTTATTACACTCCACCTGCATATCATACGAATCGAATTCAAAATCTCTTACTTTTTATATATATTTTTATCTTAATTGCACAATGAGAGATAATTATTTTTCATTTTTTATTACACTCCACCTGCATATCATGCGAATTGAATTCAAAATCTCTTACTTTTAGTAGAAATAGATAACCACTGAATTATGTAGATCGTTTGCAGTTAATATTTTATATAATAAACATATAAAAATCAATTTTTTTTTCTATAAGTAATTCTTATTAAATAATTTTATTTAAATGAAATAATTTTTTCAAAGTTTGTAGATTTACTATGTAAAAATATCAAGTTAATTTATATAAGATTGAGAATTAAAACAACTAAAAAGGAAAAAAAAAAAGACGAAAGAAATGAAAATTCTTAGTTTTTTTTAAAAAAATCAACCCAAGTTTAAATCTTAAAACAACTTTTAAGAAATTCTTTCTGTTGAGTAATTAGTGTAGAATCATTATATGCAAATATTAGGCTTGGTTTGGGATGGTTGTATATAATGTTAAATCATAATCATTTTTTTATTATAAATGATTAATATTTATTCACTTTTAATTAATATTCTTAAAACTTTTAGTAATTTTAATTAATATTTTATGTATTTTTTTGCAAAAATAAAAAATTAAAAAACTTATTACCATAACTACAATACAATATAACAATCTCAAATGAAGTTATATCATTTATATATTATATAGTAGAATCTAAATATAAGAAAATCCAAAATCCAAGTATTAATGTGGAGAACGAATAATCAGAATGAGATTGAGTAAAACCAATATCAACTATCAAGTAGAGCATGAGAAAATTTTGCAAATCAATTTTGTGAAACTACTTTCAACCCATACACAGACTTTTTTTTAGTTTGAACACTAAATTAGACTCCCCTTTTGTGGATGTCCCTAATCCCTATGGTAAAGTCAAGCAAACCTCATGTAAATTGTCATACAAAAGGGTATTCTAAACATCTAATTGGTATAATATAAACTAAAGGCTAATGTTTGACAGCAAATATAGCTCAAAAGTACTCAAACAGTCACATGCTCTATAATAGAAGAAAAAACATCATGATCAATTAACAGCAACATGTTTTATTAAAACTTACAAAATTTACCTATAATCTTCCTATAAACTTCACAATTCCGGGAAGACTTTTTTTTTTTTTTTTTGGGTTAAATTTGTGTTCTTAGTTATAATTAAAACTTAAAAAGAGAGATTAATGCTTGCTCGGTTTACTTCATTGAAAGAGACAAATTATGTTAAAATTAGATTATTTATCTTATATTTGGGTTAAAAAAAGAGTGAGAAGGGGAATGAGAAGAAATAGAAGGACATAATTTTCTTTCATCTTTTTCTTCTTATTTGGATAAATAACTAAATTAAAAAAATGAAGTAAATAAAACTCTCCTCTTCACTTCTCTTTAACTTCAATTTTTTTGATAATCAATTAAAGAAATTTTTTCTTTTTTCATTTTTATTCTTCTATATCCAAACATATTGTTAGTGATAATAACAAAATATTTATCTACTTTACAAAATAAAAGTTAATTAAAAGAAATTTTAAGTCGTTATTTTGATATGAAAGAAGTAAATAAGTGGTCAAAGATTAAAAAGCTCCTTTAACCAGTGACTCAAATAAATAAAGATATATTAAATTATAAAATAAAAATTATTATGAAAAAAAATATTTTTAATATTAAGAGATAATTTTTATTTAATAATTAATATTATATAATTAATTTTTTTATCTGATTGCATAGTGAGAGACAACCATCTCTTATTTTTTATCTCACCCCACCCACACATCATATAACTTGAATTCAAAATCTCTTACTTTTAGTAAAAAAAAATAATTACTAAATTATTTAAGTAGTTAACTATATAATTTAAATTATATTGGTTGCATCATATCTATATATATATATATATTTTAAGTTAAATCCGTTTGAGAAAACTGTTTTACAGGGCGGACTGCATACAGTCCGTCCTGTGCAGTCCGTCCTGTAAAACAGTTTTCTGAATCCGTTTTATTAATTTTTGGGGTCCGGTCTGGGTGGTCGGACTGCAAGAAGCGTTCTGAATCGAATA